AAGAACTATCACTTAACCATCGTTTCTGCTCTTTCAGGTGATCATCGAGCAAAACCACAGGACCCCCAAAGTTGATGTAGCTGCTCCGAAGCCTCATCTAAAGCCTGTAGGTGACCTGCTGCTGCATCTAATGGTAGCAAAACAAGATGATTCTGGAGCTGACAGGACAGTTTCTAGGAATATAGAGCTAATGTCTTAGATACTGGTTTGGATTTGAGAGGGGGATATATCAACCATACTTAACTTTTGGGCAGACCCTCCTGCCAAAACATGGGGTTAGGAAAATGGGAGGTGACATCTTCATAGGAGAAAGACGAGCAATCTCCCTACTTCCCCCACTGCTTCTTCCATTTGGAACATTTTGTGGTCCTGAAAGTACTCCTGGAGTTCTTGGTTTCAAATTTGAGAGTTGCTAAATTGTTCTACTCTGCATTATCTAAAGGTTCTCCGTGTCTCTCGTGTGCAGAGCCCAGTGCCCCCTTGAGTGAGAGGCACTTGTAAAACAGTGCCATTGCTGAAGGAGTAGTTCTGTCACCACTGGTCTCCTTGCTCTATCCACTGGCTCTTTCTGGTGCTATGCTTTGCCTCCAGGTGCTAGAGAGGAAGCTGAAAGAGGGGGGGCCATGGAAGGCCAGCTGGCATGAACAGCTCATGGCAGAAATAAAACGACCACAAAAGCTTCGATCATCAGCAGCAAGGAAAAATGGGAGCAGGCCCAAAGGTACCTGCTACAAAGTGACCTGTCAAGCATGCAAGTGAAGCCAGTGCTGACTAAAAACAATGGATGGCCTTTGAAATGAAAGCCTACTTATCTTTTCTGTGGCATGTATAATGCAAGGGAGGTGGGAATGCAAATTTTGTGTGATAGGGGTGGTATGGCATAAGAATAGTTCTTTCTAGAAAATCTGTTTGTGGCTTATTAAGACTCAAAAGATGCTTCAACTTACCCTTTTTTTAAAATCGATGTTCAAATTTGTCTGTCTACTAAGTGGGAGAACAGGATTTTGACTATCATCTAAAACTAAAAGATTATGTAACTACCAGGGCAAAGTGTAGACAAATCTCAGATTCTGAGGTGTGGGTATCAAAACCGTCATTTTGTTATCACAGCACAATATCTTATCTTGTCTGTGTGTATGGGGTGTTTTGTTCCCCCTCTCCCCTGCAGAAATGCTCGTGACACCAGATATTGCCTTGAAATCTCCAAGTGATAGTTTCTTAACTCTCCAAGATACCAGTACCAAGTTTAAAATTGTCAACGCTACAACAGAGCAGTTGGGACCAGGAGTTCAGGTAAGGCTTTAAATTAAAGGACTCTGGAGAGGCACGAGTACTTCAGGCATTCGATCTGCACGCACACATAGCCTAGCACGTCAGGTTCAAATCATAGTGCGGGCAATCTTGTCTCTCAAAAGTGAACGAATGTGGTACTATTAGGTTCCCTGAAGTCCTTTTCTATACAGAAACTCATACCATTGTGGCATGACTGCAGCCTATAGAACCAAGGTCTGCTCTGGTCTCTTAAAACTAGATCCTGCAGAAGTTTTAATATGCATAGGAGTTTGGCCAGTATGGGCCAGAACTATTCCCACTCTTACCTCACAGTGAGGCATTTGATGCTAGATGTATTGATGTATTTGCATTTCACGTGATACGTGAGCTTGTGGAAGGAAAACTTAATGATTTATTTTCAGGAAGCAACTTCACTGGTGAATTCCCACTCTTCTGCCTGTGGAGCAATTTTGGGAGCACCATTCTTCAATAAACCACGATACATAGTCTTTGGGTTCTTTAACTCCTGGCTTGATCATGAAAAGCTTGACCGCTTGGTTCTGGGATTCAGTCTGAGCATATTCAGAAAATCTGTGGAACAGAACTTAAGCCCTAACACATCGTGTCTAGCACAGATGCGCTGGCATACAACCAGGAATCTGTTTTCTGTAAACATTTCTGTCTGAAATGCAGTTGCTTAACTGAGGAAAACGGATACGAATTAATAAAAGCAGAAAACCTTAGCTATATTTGCACAAGTCTGCTACTTGTAGGAATGCTCAGCATTTGAGAACCCTGTGGTTGATGTATTACTGCTAAACTAGAAGGACCTTCATATGGAGGCTAATATAATCAAATTTGTTTTCTGCTTTCCTAGAGAACTAGAAACAATGCTGTTGAGATACAGCATTGGGTTTGAGTTGGGTTAGTGGGGCACAGTCTCCTGAACTGTTCTCCAGTGTTGCTACATGTGAGCTGGAGTCAAGAAAATGGTTCCAGTGTACTCTGAGAGTTGTATAGGGAGGATTTTGTGAAGTTGGTTCCTGAACAGATCGAACTTTGGGACTAGTATCCGCATTGAACATGGGTGAGAGAGAGAACAGATGAATTTGAAATTTCACTAGCTTGGCTGGAGCTTCCTGGTTGGAAGGGGGGGAATTAACTTGCTATTACCTCTTGGAATATAAAGTTGCTAAATATACCACATTGATTTCTCTCTGTTCCACTTTTGGCTGAGTCTTGAATATTTCTGGTCAGTCCTGGGTATCCTGGGTTTTGTTTAGCAGCAGCACTTCTGAGGAAGTGGGCTTGGTGTCTCTCCTATGCAGCTTAAGAACATCCTGTCCTCTGGTCTACAGGGAACCACTCCCAAGCTGCCTTCCAGCACCTGGCTTGCCTCAACCGGGTCATCAGTAGAATCCTGCAACAGCACAGGTCCATCTACTCCTAGCTGCACATCTAAACCAGGTGACAAAGTACAGTCAGTGGCCTGCTGGGTTCCCACAGCCTTAGGCTGGGCTCACTGTAGACTTTCTCTCTGATCACCTGAAGACACTTTACAGGAGAAGCTCTGACACTAAGTAATGAGTCTGGGGAGGTGCCCTTAGAAAACCATTCCTCTGCAGTTGACTGAAGCTTGTATAGCTCCTGCGGCTTCAGAACAATGATAGCACGTCCCCAAAGGCCTAACTGGAATTCACAGTAAACTCTAAATGAGTGTTTTAAATGTTCAAGTAGCAAGTGCACCACTTGATTTTATTAAACTAAATGGTGCTAATAAAGCCTCATCACTGCCTACTGACAAGCATAATTACTGCATCCTCTGCTTTTTGTGATCTGAACTGGTGGGGGTTGAAGGGGAGAGCCTTGCTACCTTCAGAGGGCAGCGTACTGCTCTTGAGCATTCAGCTTTTGGGGTGAATACTTAGAAGCTGCCAGTTGGTTTTCTGCACCCTAAAACTCTCTCTTCCTATCCAGGTCTCGCTGCAAATTGCACATATCCTCCCGTGAGTGCATCCATACTAGGAGACATTCAACCTAATGGTTTCCTGAATGCTGGCCAACAGCAGCTGCCTCCTTACAGAGGAAGGTCCAGATCTTTAGAGAGGGGCCTTCAAAGCAAGGAACTTGTAAGTCCGGCATGTCAGCTAGCAAGCCTGGTCTGATACATCTGGTAATGACCAGAGCTTGCACCTTGATCCTCGTGCAAGCAGTAAGCATGTTGTGTGGTTTTTATCTTAGGCAATATTGTATACTGATCTTAAGTTGATATATTATTCTCTCCTTGGAGACAGCTCAAGAAAAGACTGGATGCTGTAGTGTCCTTGTGGAGGCTTCCCAGTTTGAATAATATGAAATAAAGTTGTTCCTCATACAAGAAGAGAAAAATACCACTGCATTACTTGAAAGTGTCCATCAGGGCTTCCTCAAGCAGACTGTAGTTGGTACTGGGACTGTCCTGCTTTCTCCATCTCCCCTCATTCTTTCTAGATTCTGATACGTTCATAAACATCCTTAAAGCTACAGTAAAGGGAACAAGTGGTTGACAAAAGGTAGATAGCACAGCATCAGTGACTTTTAAATGTACGTGATACTGAAGTCATCAGGCTCTGAATGACTATTTGGGAGCAATGCTGGGTTTTGTGTGCTTCTGTGCAACCTTCTGAATCATGGCCTTGCCCTGTTCTGCCCTGACAAGGTACACTGTGCCCTTACCTCCTTCTTTCCTTCCGCATCCCTCCCTGCCCCGCCCCTGGCAAGTCTCTGACCATAACTGTGTGACCTCTTTGTTCAGCAGTGTGGTGGGGGATGCAGGGGGGTTGGGCTCCCCACCTGGGGATAAAAGCACTGTTGTCTCTCCTGGTCGACCACCAGACCATAGCTGCCGTTTGTGTGGGACCAGTGGGTCTTGGGAAAGAGGAGTGTTGTGGTGTGGAAAGGGATCCTGTACCTAGGAGGGGCCAGGGTGCCATCTGTACCAACGAGCAGAATTCCCCAGAGACTGGCTCTGGAGATGGTATTAACTACTTGTGGTGACTGAAGGACCTGTTTCCCTAATGAGGTGTCAGGAAGCTGCTTGAAAACTATAGCAACCACTAAATCCCCTGTAGTAGTTTCTCTGCTAGTATTATCAAAGAGTCAACTGATACTCCCCATCGTTGGCAAAACTGAGTTTTGGGGACAGATGCTCCTGAGCCTTTTGGGATGCAGTTTGGAGGATGACCTCCCCACATATCTGCTTCCTTCAGCTTTTTCTGATGCTTAACTTCTGTCTTTCAATAGGACTGTCCCTTTCCTACCAAGTGGCCATCACCAACCATTGCTGAGCTGATTGGAACCAGATATGCAGTGATGGTGCTGGAAGGGCAAGGCTTCTTCCAAGGCAGTAGTGATGGTGTCTTTCCAAGAGCAAAGGTATGTTTCCTCTCCTCTTTGTGCTGTCCTTGCCTTTTCAAAAGCTGGCTGGCTTCATGGCCCTCTGCTGAACTGCTGAGGTGCTCTCTGCCTCAACTTACCATGTTCTACAGCTGATATGAGTTTGGCCCTGGGCTGTAAAAATCGTTTAATACTTGTGCAGTGATGGCTTCTAATCAAGCTTAAGCTGTGTAAGTTGCCTAGAAAGTAACCCTGCCGTTGCTTGATACTTGTCTGTTATTTCCACGCTAGGGGAGCTGACTGCCACGACTGTTGGCCAGCTCTGAAATCACAAAGTAATTAATTGGGATTGGTACTGCTAAACAGTGAAACAAAGGCTCTTAATTCAGGCTCCCACACCTGAGTTGTGCTGACTCAAACCACCTTGCTGAGTGGACGCAAAGGCTGGGGAGATGAGGGGGACAGAGAGTGACCTGCAGCACAGGACTGTTGGCTGTCCATCTGCTGAACTGCTGGCTTATTCGCCGAGCCTCCTTTAGAGGGTGTTGCAACCAGCCCCTCTAGAGCAGATGTCATGAGTACAAGCCCTTTGCAACACAGATGTGAGGATGTCCGTGCTACTTGGCTTAGGGGTCAGCTTCTTGCCCTCACTTATTCAGCAGTGTAGACAGAGCCAAAGGGTTCTACTAGCAGAGCTATGCTACTGCCACAATCTGTCTGATGCCCTGAGGCTGAATCCTTGTTCTCGCTTTACTTACCAACCCTGCTTTAACTTGCCTGCTCTCTGCCTATTCTAAAATGGCTCTCATACCCCATTTGTGTTCTTGCTGCTGAAGTTTTTTTAGCTTTCTCAAGCTCTGCTTCTCAAGATAATATCACTTCTGACTGCCAGCTGTGTATGAATGTGTTCTTTTTTATAAAGTTCAAGCGACTCATCAGCTTCCTTGTGACTCATTTTTTGCTTCAGGATTGGATTCAGATTTGCCCTGACTTAATCTCTTTGGGATTGCTGCAGTCTGCCTCAAAGAATGTCTCTCTTCTTCCCTCTCTCTTAACTAGCTACTGTTACACTCTTGCACAATACAGCTATTGTTTGCTCAAGAGCCTTTTTTTAAACTCCTGTTGTCTGGCAGCTGCCCCAAACCTCTGCATCATAAAAAACACTGGCCTACAAGTAAGACTTTTTTTTGCCTTTTTAGCTTTTAATTCCTGTGTCTTTGCTATCCTTTATTGGACCTCTGTTATTGTGTGTGGATCTAAAGCCTTTAGAAGGTTGGTTTATGTGCTTGCTCTTTGGCAGGCAGTGGATACTGGTGGTACAAAGATATTTTCCATTTGCATTCACAAGTAACTTTCCTTTCCACAGACCTGTTTCAGCTGCCATAAGCAGATGTTTCTGAAGTGGCCTTACAGCTGTTACCTCTGTAGCAGGTGAGCTGGTACAAAAGGAGTGAATGAGGAGGGAGAAGAGAGTGAAAGAACAGCGCTGAGAACACTCAGTATTCAAACAGTTGTAGTACTGGATAGGAACAGGTTGCTGAGCCCTTCAGTTTTGCCTTACTGCACAAGCCAGGCTGAAGTGTCTACAGCTGCAGAGGATGTGGAAAGACTTGCCTCTAAAGTGGTACCTCAATTTTAACTCTTAGGATTAAGCTAGTAATAACCAAATTTACTGTGCAAGTATTAGATTCAATTTCTCTCGGAGATCACTCTCTGCGTTTTTCTCTAAGGGTTGGATTTAACTTCAGTCAAGGGCTGGAGCTGGTTCTGGGAGAGGCTTTTCACCAGAATCTTCTGTTGAGGACTGAAAAAGTGAACTCCAGACCCTGTGACTGGGAAAGGAGTTGGACCTACTTGTATCCAGTTATTTGTCAGAGGTTTTCTGTTCATGGGAGAGGAAAAGAGGAACTTCAGGGTCATTAAGGCTCACTTAAATCTATTTGAAGGAGTGGTGAAGCACTGAATTGATTACAAGCAACAAGTGAACAACCACTGGGAAATGAGTAACTGGCTGGTGGTAGTTCTGGGTGAAAAGTAATGGGCATTTGCAGATAAAGCCTTCAAGCTATGGATGCTGACACATTTCAGATGATTTAAACTAGGATAAATATACGAGGGCTGGCAAACTGAATAGGGGGGAGTTCAAAGCTTGCTCACTTTGCCATCAAGTGATTGTGCCACAATCGCAAATTAAGACTTACTTGGGAAAGTCAGCCTTAGCTGCAATATTGGTATCTGCTGAGCTTTACTCAAAAGATAATGCTGGGAACTTTTTTCTCTTAGTGTTGTCTGCTGTGACTGCTGCGTCAAGGCAAGTCTAGTCTTTACAACAGCATACGGGTTTTTTACGTTTTCTGTTTTCCCTGCACCTCACCTCATCATAGGAAGCTTTCCTTCACCCCACTGATACCTCAAATCTACCCTCTAGCTTGTTTCGAAAAAAATAGAAGAGGGAATATTACTAGGTGCAAAAGCAGCCAAGGTGCCACAGACATCTCTTGTCATACTCAGCTAAAACAACTCTGGTTCCTCTCTTTCACCCTGTGTAAAGTGGTTGAGATTACTCTGCACTCTATTTATACAAGGGTCAGAAAGTTCACTGCATTAATGTCTATCTTCTAAGTGCACCAATAAATCAATTGCATGCCGTGCAGATTTTCCTGCTAAGAAGGAACTCAGGTGACTTGTGTTTCCCCAGGAACTCAGGTGACTTGTGTTGTGATTCTAGATGTCCATGCCCTTCAGAACGTGTGTACATCTCCCTCTTCACTTCCTAAAACTTTTGAGACTCTCCAGAGAGGAGGACCCAGCTACTCAAGAGCAGAAGAGCTCAGAGTTGCTGCATGAAATAGAGCACTGGGAGTGTTTTGGGTAAGCTGGGACAGGGATGTTCTGTTTTTACCTTGAAAGATGTTACCCGTTACTTGTATACGCTAAGTCTACAAATGTGCAGACAGCAGTATGTCGTATTATGCTGGTCAGCTGAATGTTATGCTGAATGACTGGTTCAGCCACTGGTCTAACTAGTCTACAGTTCTCTGGAAGTATCGTGGATTTTAGATGACCAAAAGGGAGGACATGTAGGTGCTCTGAAATCCATGTTGCTTTTTAGCTATTGGGTTTCCGAGCTGGATTCAGAAGTGTCCATATTGGCCCAGACATAGAAGGTTCCTTGCAACAACTTCATTTGTATGAGAATTTCCAGACCCCATTATATTCTGTCCCCCACAGCTGGGGGTCTGTCACTACAACGCAGGAGTAGCCCCTTTACACCTAGAAATAAAATCTGCTAACGGTCTCAGGTATAACTGACTGAAGAGTAATGCCACAAATAGTTTCTCAGTCCCACCATGCACATACAGACCCCTTTCCTTTTTGTGCCCAGAAAGGGAACTATTTCAGAAAGAGCTTTGGACAGTTCTGGGTGGAAAAGACAGACCTTGTGGGTATAAGTGCAATATCTATGACTGGAAACATACATTATCTGTTCTCTGCTTTCCAAATAAGTTATGTATTCTACTGGGGGAACAGGTATCTTTTCTCTCTGAAACCACTCTTTAATGTAGCCAAAATAAAGTCACAGCAGTTTTTGGTTCAAAGGCTTGTACTTCTGTTGCCAAAAATCAGGGGTAGTATTCACTGCTGAAGTTAACTGTGTGGGGCAGTGGCTTGGTCTGTCGTGTAACACAGGTGCTGCACAAGAGGTCTGAGTATTACTGCCATACTTCCAGATGGCAAAAAAAATATCCTACAGCATAAGGATGCAGCCGTAACCTTGAATCAACCACAGATACCCATTAGCCCTTTGGCTGACATACTGTCAATAGAGAGAAGGTGTCGGTAAATGAAGCTGTTCTGGCACTTGGTAGCCTTCCTAAGTGGAGCTGACTGCTCTGTTGAGTTCATGCATTTAGCTAAATTGCTTAGTGGTGTTGGATCATGTGTGTGGGCAGGGTGGAAGAGCACCATGCCCTCTAACAGAAGCCTGGGTCAACTTTTCTGTTTTTCTTTTTCCCTCTCCCGCTCCAGTGTACCCATTATTTTGGAACCCCGTTGCCTAGCACAGCCTCTGTGCTGTTACACAGGGACCATGGCAGACTGGCTGACCGCAGACATCTGCATGCGATGTGAGCAGTATCTGTTGAACATGGCTTCCAGTCAACAGCAGAGCATCCCTCTCAGGAGAATTTCCTGGCCTTGAACCAAACTGGAATGATTCTACCATACATTTCTCCTGTCACTTGTTCTGTACCTGAAGTAAACGAAACAGCTTTATGCACCTACTGACATAAAGGCCTGAATAAAAGACCTCCCTGCTGGTTAGCCTAAGCAGGAAGTACAGTTAGTATTTATGTATTGTGAAGTATTACAAAGCTTTGTGGCTTTTAGAATGGTTTTAATTCTTTTTATGTGTCTTTGGGGAAAATAAATGTTGAAGCACTATCACGCCTCTAGCATTTCCTCCTTTGCACCTGCAGTTGTCATTGTTCTGTGGCACTGTCTGCATTCATAGCTGAGCAGACTTTGCACTATGTAATGAGTACAGGGTAACTTTTAACCTAAAACCTCTGTTCCGGAGAGGCTTGGAAAGTGGAGCTCTGTTATGTGGTCGCATCACCACACGTTTTGCAAACATTTCTTCCTGATAACTCACTAAAAAGCACTTAAAACTCACTGCTCTGATGCATGTAACACTGTAGCAATGGCGGTCAGGCAGCCTGCTCAGTCTGCTTGCTTAGGAAGCTAGCTCTTGATTTGGTTTCTGTCTACGCGCTACCCATGCTTTGCCCCTGGAGCTCTCTGGTGCATGTCGCATAGCACGTGTGGGTGCCATCATCACCTGAGAGGCAGATGGTTGTTTTCAAGAGATTCTTGCTCTTTGTATTGGCCTTAAGCTATGCCCTAAGCTAAACTGGACTATGACAACCTATGATATTCTAGAAAAATAAAGAACGTTTTGGTAAATTGTTTGTGTGGTTAAAACCAAAAATGGGGTATTTGATACATGTCTGTTTCTCCCCAGGAATTGCCTGTATGGAAGGGGTGTAGGTGCTCTGATGGAGTTCTTCCCTGGTGTGTTTTGCAGGGCCTGGACAGACAGTGTTGAAGGGTACAATGGACTTGTAGCTGGGGTGAGTCATGCTGAAGAAAATAATGGCTGGGAAGGGCCAGTTCTTCTAGACAGGGGAGAAGGGAAGAAAGACTTGTTTAAGCTGAGCCCAAGGTCTGCATCCAAACTGCCAGAAGGGTCAATACCTCCAGCTGACTTGTGCTGGCCTAACTCTGCTTCCTCTAAACTGCCTGTCTGCAAGCTGACGCCTACTTGCAGGTTTGGGCAAGCTCTGCAAGTTAAATGAATGTGGGGAAGCTGCAGCTTGTGCTTCCTTTTGGAGCAAGTTCAAGTGTTCCTCTTCCTTCAGTCAATTAGGAGGGGTGCAGCCTGCCTGCCCAGGTCCTCTCCTGCATGTGCTAATCGCTTGTGCTGCTGGGAGGCACATCCATATCGGGCAGGTGGGTTCCTTGCAGGCTGCAGGGAATGGCAGCCACGCCACAGCTGCACTAGCTGGCAAGATGGGCGCGGTGTGGGGCCGGGGGCATGAGGTGCTCCTGGCTGCTTGCTGAGTGAGGCAGTTTAGACAGAGCTAGAAATGAGCTGAGATCAGCCTGTTTTGATTCACGTGCAAGCCCAAAATGCTTCTCAGAGCCTGGGTGCAGCGATATGGAGAGAAGGTATCTGTATGGCACTGAGGTAGACTTCAGTTTACCTGGAGAGCAAAGGCGGTTCTAGGTTTTGTCTCTTGCACATCTGCTGGGGTGCCACGTGGGCTCTTTTACCGGCTTCCCCTTTTCCTGCCTTGTGACTACGAGGAAATGCCCTCACTGCAGAACAAACAGGCAAAGGGGATGCTAAGGGACAGCCTGACCTTCCCTGCCTATCCCTGATCTAGCGAGCTGTCAGGAAGAGCCATGTTCCCATCGCTCCTCTCTCCTATGCTGGTTGCATTGGCCCCTGAGCGGGCTTGTACAACCTCTGTCCCCTCTACAGGAGTGACACCTAGTCCTTCTTCAACTCTGGAGTGCAGCCATTGCTCCTGACCATGGCAAGTCATGACAGCTTGTGTGGGGGCAGGCTTACTAGAAACGTACATCTGTTTAAACACAGCCGAAAGAGCCTGGTCTTCTCCTTTCCCTGGCCAAGGAAAGCCCTTCGGAGGGAGCAGAGACTAGGCCTTACCTGGCAGCCCCGGAGTGCAGGGGGAGCAGGCACAGGCACCGCATGGGCAGCCTGAAGCCAGGGTGCAGAGGGGGAGGCTCCCGTGTGGAACAGACCTGGGACCAAGCCTTAAAGGCACCAGGAGCAGCGCTTTCCAGGGATGCGGAGGTGACTGTGCAGAAACCTGTTCTGTTCGGAGCCCCTGAAAGGTGATGGTTTGGAGGAAAGCCTTCCCTCTGCAAGCGTACGGCAGGATTTGATCTGTTTTCTAGTCTTTTGCTGGTTCTTCTCATCCTATGGACCGGAGCTGTCCCTGCTCAGAGTCAGCTAATTCTAGTTATTGGCGTTGTGTTCGGGTGAAACTTGCCTTTGGACATGGTGATCTTTTGGTGTTCTCCCGCCACTGCAGAAAGCGGTCAGTCTCCAGGCTCGGGCGCTGGGTCCCTTCACCCAGCCCCTAGTACCTCAAAGCACCGCTGCGGTCTTTACTCCTCTCAGCAGTGCATCACGACTGAAAAACAGGAAAAGAAGTCTTAATTATTACCACTGGTAATGGCAGGAGCTTGGACTGAGGCACTGGGAGCAGAGGAGGGAAGTTTCCTCCTCAGGTCAGCTCTGTGCCCACTGATCTCTGAAGCCAGCGAGGGGCAGGCGGGACCGAGGTGGGGACACCTTTTATTTCGGCGTGGGGCCTCTGAGGAGTGACCCGCGGAGCATGCTGGCTCTGCCCGGGTATGGAGGCGACGAAGCTCCGCGCCTG